TACACATACAAATTTAAGACAAGAAAACAATTATTTGCCCTTAAACTAGCAATATTATTCATAGTTTTCAAAAATTAATTTCTGCCAGCCAAAAGTATCAAAATGGAGGATTTGTGAACAACAAAGTATCAAATCTTAAAATTTAGAGAAAAAAGTATCAAAAATGATACAATTGTATCAAAACGGCAACGCTGTTACCAAGTTACCTGTGTGCACAAACATAAATACATATAACTGTGTACATATGTATGTATGTAGAAAGTAGTTAAGTTTTTTTAACCGATATTCTTTTTAACGCATACTTTGTTTTCGAAATAACGCAGTGTGCAATGCAGTTTTGCCTGANCAAACATAAATAAATATATCTGTGTACATATGTATGTATGTATGTAGAATGTAAGCTAAGGTTTTTTAACCGAGATTCTTTTTAACGCATACTTTGTTATCGAAATAACGCAGTGTGCAATGCAGTTTTGCCTGATTTTCACAAACATATGTACATATGTATGTATGTAGATACATTAAGTCAAAATTAACCACGTGTTCTAAATATGACGCACATATGTATTAAAAAGAGTTTAGTTTGTGAAAATAGTTAAATTCAAATATGTGTATATGAACATATGTATATATGTATGCGTACATGGAATAAAGAAATTTGAGCAAAAATTAGCGAAATGTTCATAAAAATTTTAAATCTTTTTTAGGGTATGGAATTTTGTGGCATAATAAATTTTAGTACAATAAAATGCAAGTTTGAAGTAGCTAGGTTGATTTTTGGCAATTTCTTGTTGTTTTTTGTATGGAGAAACTTAGCAACGCTTTCAACAAAAAGAATTGCCAAAATTCAACTGTATTTTTCGAACACTTCGCAAGTGTCAACAGTAATTTGCGAGCTCTGAAGAAATCATAAGCAAACACAAAATACCAATTGACTGTCGTTGCTGCCCGCTTGCAGAAGCTAGAAATTTCTCATTTTTCGACTGCGACTGCCGACAACTTGCAAAAGCAAAGATATTGCTTATACATCGACTTGCGCCGCTGACCAAAATCGACTGCCGGAAGAACTGCGCATTTTGTCGAAAATCAGTTTCTGCTTGAGCTTTGACTGCGNGCCAGCAGCTCTGCGCATTTTGTCGGCAATCAGTTTTTGCTTGAACTTCGACTGCGACTGTTAAACCAACGACTGCCAGCAGCTCTGCGCATTTTGTCGGCAATCAGTTTTTGCTTGAGCTTCGACTGCGACTGTCGTCTTGTCTTATAATTGTAAGCACAAGCAATAAGTAAATTTTGAACAGTTGAACATAAGTCGAAGCAGTGAGAAGCGAAAATTTTATTACTTTTGCTACTTCGACTTAAGTTTTTTAAACACTGATATTTAGAACACGTGGTTAATTTTGCCTTAATGAACCTACATACATACATATGTACATATGTTTGTGAAAATCAGGCAAAACTGC